TTCGGATTTGAAAACACACTAAGTTAAAGCAATCGATGACGAAGGAATGAAATTACCACACAACGACCGATAACTTTGTCTCGAAATTAGGAAAGCACTTGTGCTAGCAGCAGTGCTTCCATAAAACAAGATTGTAATATACGTACTTCACAGGAAGCGCAGATGTTTGAAGAAATCGTGCTTCAAAGCCCAGCTTCTATCATTTGATCAGATCGCAATTTTGTTACAACACGTCTACCTCTCTTAAGAGTTCGTCCCATGAAATGGCTTCGCCGCAAGCAAACGTTTTAAACGTCCATTGAAAGTTCATCAGCATAAACACAATAACAAGGAAATATTATCTTGAACTATCAATATTCATAAGAGAAAGAATAGTTTGACGAAGCGATCGGTATCTTAGTAACAGTAATGGGAATGAAATATTGTGAAAAGAGCACAAAAATGAAGTTTGCACGGCAAATAAACACGTATTGCAGAAAAGAGTGTGACTGTGAAATAATAATACCTATAACTTTTCCCATTCCAAGTGGGAAATAAATTAATTAAAAGGCGTCCGTAACAATACCATACCTGTATCAAGAAACAAACATTTCAGATTTAACATCACAATTCCCCGCGCTATTCCCTCTCGCCAGCCTCCTAACTGCCATCCTACACGGTCAAGGCAGCACGAAAGAGGCCTATGCGGAGGAGAGAGATGCAGACCAGTTGCTTGGTTACAAGCGTGGCCGAGGAGTTAAACGCGGATCTACAGTGAAACACTGCCTTCGGCTCAAGGTAGGAGTCAGAACGGAATTTAAATCCCCGACATTCGAGTTTCAAGTCCAGGGTCCTATAATGATCCGGCCACGCCAGCTTCTGATCGCAAACCATAAGAGAAGTCCCGTTTTTGTTTTGAAGTACTCCGAGAAAGTTCCAATTCTTGTTCTCCGATCAAAACTACCACTAGTTAACACAAGTAATCACGAGTATCCACGAGTAATCAAGAATATCCACGAGCGATCACGAGTATCCACGAGTAATCACGAATATCCACGGGCAATCACGAGTATCCACGAGCAATCACGAATATCCACGAGCGATCACGAGTAATCACGAGCATCCACGAGCGATCACGCCAGCGTGACGTAAATGAGAATGCTAGTCCTCAACTGGTACCTGCTCCCCTGGCTGGGATCACAAATCAAGTATTTAACGACACTATCGTAAATGTCTGCTTACCTCGGATTCTTCCAAATCACTTGACGAGGATTCTACGTCCATGGGCGTCGGTCCAGTTGAGCTGAGTTTGCGTGACGTCGAAAGCGTCCCAGTCACGCTTGCTCTCTTTTTACGGCCTGGCTCACCGGGGACCGACAACTTTTTGCTTTCTACTGCAAGCGAATGTCTCTTGTTCTTCAACCTGTCAGAATGATCCGAAGACGCCGACAATTTACCATGGGTGAGGCTTACCCTCGGCTTTTTCGGCGCGGCAGAAGTAGGCGAGGGGCTTACCGATCGAGTGTCACGCCGTTTGTGCGGCGCTAGATTGGTATCTTTCTCTGGGGACGTGTCCATTGGCTCGTCTGAGGTTGAGGATTTTGGACTGGGGGTTCCACTCTTTAAACTGTCTTGTGAAACTCCGGTTAAGTTCGAAGTACTCACTTTAACTTGAGCTTTGCCTTTTCCAGTGGGAGAGGTCGTTCTCTCTGTCTTCAATGGCGATGAACTTCTTCGTGACTGTTCTGTTTGCTTCTTGGGAGGGGTGGGTGAGGAACGCACCACTTTACCCTCTCCTCCCTTCGACGGAGAACCCGCAGCTGAAGTTGAATCTTTTGCTTTTGTGCTCACCGGAGAAGGGCTTCTCTTCAATTGTTTTGTGTGCTCTTCGGGAGAACTGGGTTCGGGGCTTAAAGTTCTACTCCCGGCTCCTTTAGCCGAGGGGCTCGGAGAGCTAGATTTCTTTGGTGCGGGTTTGGTCGGTGAGACGGGTCTTTTTGGCGACTTCGTTTTCTCTGACTCGAGAGTGTCGCAGAGTGTAGCCAAATACGTTATAATCGATTTCTCGTCAGGCTTCTCCACATTAACATCTGTAACAAAAAAAAAAAACAGACCGTCTTAAAATTTTTCCACTGCATGTTCTTGCATTCTGAACCACAGCCGCCATCATAAAACTGCACGTGTAAACCATTATAACTAAGCCAATCGCATGGCGGCAAGAAGTGTCACGAACGTGAAACCGTTTCAAAGCGCGGGAAAAAGTCACATGACGTACGTGGTTCAAGGAATGCGTTCCGAATAAAAGAGAAGACAAACGTTTCGTTTTGTTAGGCTACTTGCAATATGATCGGTGGAAAAGACAGGTGATTCCAAAACTGGAGCAGATCAAAAACGGAACAATTTTATTACATCCGCATCCAGCAGTCTTTTCCTGAAGCTGCACAGTTCAGGCATATAAAAACGTGTGTTGAAAATTGGTTTTTGCATCTTCCTATCATTGTATCAACTCCGAAAACATACACAAAACCGGAACAAAGTCCTTTAACGCTATCAGGTGACATTTATGACGCTGTTATTATGTTAGCTTTTAACGCAACATAGAAAGGGCATTGGGTTTATTCCTTCATAAAGAAAAATTCCAGCAATTTAGGGAGAAGTTAACATAAAAGATAGAAACAGATTTTATGTTTTGTCCTTTGCTTCTATTATTTCCCACTGTTCTTTTCTTTTTCCCGCAGAAAAATAAGTTACATTTGATACTGCGGTTTTCCGAGGGTCGGTACTTCCGGGTATTAGTCAAAAATGTCTGTCAGAATGTTGTCGCTAATTTTGAAAACTTTACCGTACAGTCGGAAAGACATTTGGCAAGGGCTCGCTAGGACTGCCTCTCTATTCGCACCATTTCTCTCCGTTCCACTGTAAAGGGAACAATTGCTCAAGTGAAGACAGTGAATGCAGCGATTGCTCGACAAACCTGCACAACAACCTGCAGACATTTTCCATTTGTAAAATGGAATTCGCTAGTTAGAGCGGTTTTCAATCGAGTGTCGAAGGTAATCAAGCAATTACTTTGGTTTTGGTTTCACTACGGTTTGAGATTGGCTGAGTTGTCTAATTGGTTTTTGTTTACGTAACTCAGTTGAAAACTGCTCTATAATTCAGACAAATGTTCTTCACCTTCAGGCTCCAAAAGCTTGGGTACACTGAGATGTTTCTCGGCTAAGTCAAACGCTTCCTGTAGATTGGAAACATCATCACGGCTCTGAACGGCGCCGAGATCCACTAAATCGGGCCTAGAAAATTACAAACAACACAAATACTCATAAAGTTAATGCAGTGTAATCAAAAGGAAGTGCGATGCTTTAATACTCAGTGCGTCGCCTGTGAGTAAACTCTCTTGGAAGTCCTTAGAGTAAGGTTTGCAAGAGAATTTGCTCGCAGTTTACTTTGTGCGTTCAGGACTCCGGATCGAGCCGTCCAGGTTCGACCCCTGACCGGGGTCGTTGCGTTGTGTTCTTGGACAAGACACTCTACTCCTGCAGTCTTTACCCGCAAGTATGGCCAGAGACCTGTATTAATGGGAGCCCAGAGAGAATGATCTTTTCACAGACTAGCATCCACAAGGGAGGAGCAACAATACTTCTAACCGTTTTATATCTGCATGAACCAACGTCAGTCGTCAGCTCTAACAAGTCATCTTGCTCCTACGATCTTAAGGATTAGAACGAAACTTACTTTCTTTGGCGCATCCGTCGACATAACGAACAGACTTTACCTAACCACGACATTTTTACCTTCACTGATTGAACTACTAATCACGAATAACGAATAACGGATCACGAATATAACGAGCCAAGATATAACGAATTTCCATCCTCCACCCAAATAAGCCTTGTGTACGCAAACTTAATGACTAAGACAGCTCAGAAAAGCAATAATCAACATCAACCAATCAGAATCGCCGCCCAGCAAAACAAGACCTCGCTTTGAGTGAGCTCTTTTAATTAGTGTTCCAAACAAAATTCCTGTGTTTAACGGTCGCTAAATTTAAATAACAAACAAAATTTGACGTATATGTTTGCAAAGAGGAAGTCTCGCTATTTAAACTATTAAAACAGACATAGTTTCTACAGCTCTTTTTTAATCATTTACATCTTGTAACAATTCTCTTATTCAGTAAGCTTGCTCGGGATTGTACCGGAAGAACATCGACCATCGAATTTTTTGCGTTTTCCGAGCGTACAGACCTCCCTATTCATGATCCGTATCAAGGACCGATATTCTCCCAGAATGGCACCTGATAAGATATATCATGACATGTTTCAAAAACACATTTGTAAATAAGCACTTAAGCAAAACAAAACCACCTGCGAACTTATTCAGTTACGGGCGCATATGTATATAAAGCACGAAAGTATTAAACGGGCATCAAAAATAACGACATTGCTTTGCTATAAAATTTTCAACGCGTTTCTTCGACACATACGTAAATTAACTTTCACTGCTTGAGAGACCGCAAAAATCTCACTAAAATAGTGATTGTTTCTTCAAGTGTTGGCATCATAAGTCTTTATAAAATAGCCCAAAGAAAAAACGCGCGCTGATTGGTTTAAAATCGTGTTTCTATAACTCGACTGAAACAAGGAACTAGCACGAGCTGTTCATGTAATGATGTTGACGCGAGCAAAGACAATTTACATTTTGATGATCAAAGTAAAAAAACGTTGTTTCCTTTTTTGTCGCGGAATTTTCTGAAAATAGAAAATATGCTCTCCGTGTTTCTATCGAGTTAAACAATTAGATTATGAGCTCGAAATTTATATCACGCATAGAAACTGAGAGCGAATAATCTAATTGTTTTCGTATAAATCTACTAGTCGTTCAAAACTTTATCGAAATCCTCTTCACAGACACTTCGAAAACGCAAAGAGGCGACCATCAGTTCGTTAACAAGCGCACAGTGTTAAGCTACTTACGTAGTAACGTAGCCAATCAGAGAACGGCATTCGTGATAGAACGCTAGAAGATTTTTTACTAAAACTCGATAGAAATACGGTACATATTTTCTATTTCTTAAAGAAAAGGGTGGGTGAGTGGTTGACTTGACCAGTAGAGAGCTCTTGACCTATACACATTGGTCACAAATGTCTTTCTTTCCTTATTAAGCCATGTTTTTCTCATGTACGAAATTACTTTCAAAGAAAAGGATGGTTATAACTGAGAAAGATGAAGATGGATTACAAAACACGACTCTGACATTTTTTTTTTTTCAGATGTGTCAATTGAGACATAGCCCCCTTAAAGATAAGAAAGTGCTATATTCAGGCCTTGTACTCTTCTTTAAACAAAAAAAAAATTCAAGGAGTTTTCAAGGACGTCTCAGGACACAATTTCAATTTTTCATCGACCCAATCCAATAAAAAAATACTACAAGAATCTGACACTAGATGTTTAGATTTACAGGATACCTGACAGCTTTGTTCAAGTCTAAGTCGTTTTTAGTTCTTCTACTATGAGGGCAGTTTTTTTTTTCGTCAAGCTCTTGGCCGCTTGTTCTTTTTCATTGAAATTTCAAGGTTTTTCAGGGACCCTCCGTATGGCCTTTCAAGACCTTGATTGTTGATTTTCAAATTCGAGGACTTTTGAGGACTTTCAAGGCGCGTGCAAACCCTGAAAATTTTCAAGCTGGAATAGTTAACACTGGTGGGAGTCGTCAAAAGATCTCGGAATCAACCTGAGTGTTAAGTCTTCTTATCTAATGACACATCGTGATTGGGAAGATGTCAAGTCCACTATAACGTACTTAGACCATATCAACTTTGTTAAACCTTACCTAAATGCATGGATTATATGTAAGAAAGCCTGACCATTTTTCCAACTAGAGCTGAAGTTTTTCACAGCCTCACTTGATCTATATTAACAAAAAATCAGAGACAAAATAACCATTAAAGGAACCACATTCAGGTCTGGGAGACTAAGTTCTGGCAATACTAAATAAAGTATCATAAGCCCAAGAGAAAGGGGGAAGGGTCCTCCCTTACATAGCCTATACAGGGATGCAGGGCTGTCATTAAGGGCCGCAGCCCAAAATACCTGTTACGGCTGAGTATGCTTGATTTTCCATTGATGCTACAGGTGAAATTGCCTGATGATGATAAATTCACCTACAAAGGAACAAGTTTGCTACGGGCGTGGAGAACAAGGCTACAGGTGACTCAAAACTTAGTGACAGCCCCGGGGATGTACTGCTAGATAGGGCATAAATTTTGGAATTGCCATCTTGAGTGGGGTATGTAATTTGACGTAAACTGTTCTAAGCAAGTGAGACTGAACTCTTCCTAAAAAGGGTATGGTTAAATGATTACTGTCCTTAAATATGCTTCACACGGTACCCAGCAATCCAAAATCTTTTGCCAATATTTACAGAGAAGGTCACCAGTCAACACAAGATAACTTTCAGGACAAGGAAATAATATGGAAAGAAAATAATATGGCTTTCAACATCCTTCAGTTCCACCAATTTAACAACTGCATCACTAAATGGAGGTTGGGTGCCAGAGGCATCCAGGAGCTTCCACTATTGGTAGCCAGCTCCTAGATGGCAACCGTTAACTCTGTTAAATTGCGATTAACTGAATTAACAGTGCTTTGTCTTAAGCCGGGTTCTAAAACAGAGGGTGCTGTCCTACATAGGAAACATACTTAACTAAAGGTTTTTCTTGCATAAATGGGGTCAGGTTTTCCAACCCACACTCCCAACCTACTATCCCAGCCCCTTCCTCTCATGGCCAGGGGAACTATTACCCAAATATTCAGTTGGTCAGGTAACCTCCTCCTCAGGCACTGGTCAGGGTGCAGTTAGATTTCGCAGTGATTTTGTTAACATGGTAGCAACAAGTCCTTTACATCTCTTATAATATAATAGGTATATAAGTATGCAGTTTTACCCTGTGGCTTTCTGGGCTGCTTTCTGAGACCACTCTAGAAGGTATTTCTTCGTCCTGGATTTTTTCTTGTTTGCATAGAAACCCTCCACCTTGATAAGGATAACAACAGGAAATACATTAGAAAACTATATATAAAGAAAGAATAGGTCCATCCAAGACAGTGAAAGTCTTCATGGATAAAAGTTTCAAATTATCAGTAAAATGAAGGAATCGATCAAATAAAACCAATAGATGTCTAGGTGAAGTGAAGTGAACTTGGAGAAAATTTTTACCCATGCTGAAAAGTTTAGAAAAAATTGTCAGTCACCTGAAAATCAGTGATATGAAGTATATAGCCTAGAAAAATGTTATGAATAAGCTACTAGGTGTAGAAGTAACTTTCAGATGTCAAAATCCAGAAATTTTAGTTTAATAAAGATCAAGTGCCTTATCGGTTCTGCCCAACATTGTTGTATACTGGACCCTGGGTTGAGAGATCAGAGTTTGAGCCCAGGACCTGGGTCATTGTGTTGTGTTCTTGGGCAAGAAGCTGTACTGTCTCAATCTCTTTCTCACTCAAGTGCAAAGAGGAGAACTACCAAATTAATTGCTGTGGAAAACCCCACAATGGAATACATGTAGCCTCAAGCAGCACTTGATGCTATTTTTTATGTGGAAATAAATTTACATTTAATTAAATTTACCTGATAGTGATGAATAATGGCCCAAATCAATCCAAGAACCAGCATTTGATTTCCATCTACCACAGACTCCCTGTGAATATTCAGAAGCTTGACCTGGTGTGTAAATTCAAAACTCACTCAAGTTAAAATCAGTGCAACTATTAGCATATGACAGGGCCTATTGCATTAAGCCCATTAGGTGCTGTGACTAGAAAACTATACTTAGAGGAAAAAAAAAAAACCTCTAGCAAATTAAAGAGTCTCCTTTATCACTTACATTTTTTGTGGTTAAAAATTTCAAGGCAGATCCAACATTTGCAAGATGATGAGGTCTCTTGCTTCCTTTTTCTTTTGGCTGAAAAATGATAGATATTATACATACAGTAAATCACATTATTAGAAACACCAAGTGTAAGGAAGTACGCACTAAAAGCAGTTAATACATGTATGTACTTCAGTCTATAGTTTAACAGAAGCAATGAAATACCAAGCGATGTAGGATCATGTAGATGTGAGGATGGCACATGCAAAGAAAATTCTCATTTTGATAAATAACAAAATTTAAACGAATGATTTCCTGTCCTTTTTCTTAAACCCAGTACCAGCTGATAGCTTAAGTACAAAGAGAATGAATGATAATCCAAGAATGATCATTGTGTCGAAATTCAGACAACAATTGGCAAAACTAGAAGTTACATTTCTGTAAGAACTATGCCGTCATCAGGCTAGATTATGCATATATACAAGGTAGCTCCTAATTACGGTGTTAATAACAATGAAGAGACAAAACAAAAAGTGATACTCGTGAGAAAAGGCACATTAAAAGTTCTCTGATGGATTTGAGTCCTTCGTTGAGGGAAGATGTCAGGTGTTTGATGTCAAAATAATATCACAGTGTTCTTATTAAATATGCAGATACACTTGTAAAAGTTTGGGAACTCAACAAAGCTGTGGAAACACTCGTCTGTCAGCTCGTGTTCCTTCAGCATAAATTCTCATTCACCCAAGTTTCTGCAACTTCATAGACATGAAAGATGGAAAATATTTTCTTTTTCTTCTTAGTACTATATATTCTACTTACTCGCCAAAGTTCAAATCGTACATTTAATATTGCTGGCAGAAATTCTCAATAAAAGCATCTGGGCTTTTCAAAGCTATATTTTGATTTTTTAAAAGTCTAGGTAGAATATTTTATTGGAAGCTAAGGAGTTGGAAACAGGATTTTGAAAACTTCAACTGTAACGTGATATATATCATTACACGAAGTATATCTTACCAAGCGTTCTCCTGACAATACTTCTAGTAGTGCCAGTAACTTTGTGCCATCTTGAAGACCCTCAATCAAGTCATCAACATGCATTGGAGGCTTGTGCTGTTAAGGGTGTGGAGAACCAGCAGTGAATATTACAATACCAAATGCTGATAACATGAACTCTCAAAGTAATAAAATTTCACAAGGGCCTGGCTAATAGATGTAACTTAATCCACATGTGGTCAATAACAACAGATGAGTTTATCAGATTGATGAGTGATCATTAATGAGACACGCTTGATACGTAGCTGATGAGTAGGTAAAAGAAATCAGCTGACTGACTTAGAGAAACATGAATTTAACACCTTTCAGGCAGTTTCTTTTTAACTTAAAGCTAAAATTCAATTTCACTACTTCATTGTGGATATTAGCTTACTTAACTTCAAATTACCTTTTGAAAAAATATAATTAGGTCTATATACTCTGTATAAAAAATCCTAGATACAACAATGGTGTCATATCTGTCACCACTACTTGACTACAAATCGACTGTTCAACTAAACTGTTGATCAACCGCCTGACTAACATATTTGAATGATCAATTAGTAAACTAACTGATCAACACACTGATCATCTGATTGATCAATAAATTGACTATCTGTCTTTCTTACTAACCCCTTCTCCTACTTTCTGTCTTACTGTCTTCAATACACAGTTGCTAAATATATTTGATATATGGCTAACTCAGTAAGTACGCAAAATGAATCAAATCCTGCGCTATGATTAGCTACCCAGCAGGCAAGATGGCGCTATCTTACCAGCCCAGGATTATCTGCTGTGTCCCACAAGAAAATAGTGTTCTTTTTCCATGTAATAAATGCTTTATTGACCATTAGCTTGTTCTGTCACAGTAGCTGGATATTGGCCTTGTTCTATTTTTGGCATGTTTATAGAACTCAACTCTTTCATGGTCCATAAACACACACAAAAAAGAACTTGGCCAATATCCAGCCATCTTGACCAAACGCTTGGTCAATAACCCATATATATATATTGTTTGAAACACTTAGCAAATTGCAATGGTTAAAATATTTATTTAATGGAATTTTAAAAATCAGACTTACTTTTTGAAGAAAATGATTCACCCATCTTCCAAATGTCCTCTTTTGAACCAGAACTTGTTCCTCTGTTCAAAAATAAAGAATTTTTAAACAGAGCTTAGCAGACAAAACTGAAACAGCGGGATGCCATGCATAAAGTTAAGATGTCAACCATATTGGAATCCATAGTAACAATAAACTACATCGTACAAGTGATGTTTCTGATTGTATTGTACAGCTTGTGGGTGTTTACAACCCCTGTTTTCAAAAGCAAACAAGTTAATAACAAACAAAAGCAGTAACGTCTTCTTTTTAACGGTCGCGAAGCGTGTAGTTCTGCCGACACATTCATGTGAAACCAAAATAAAAGTCAGGGTATGCCATTCACGTGCGAATCGAACAAGTGCTATAACCCGGACGATGCGTTAGAAAAATGAGATTTTGTTCACGAAAATATTTCTGATGTGCGATTTGTTGCAAATATTTTAATTTCTTTGAAATCGCTGCAGCTAAGGACACTTATTTCCCTGATGTATTCGACCCGACAGCAAGCGAAATCATTCGAGCTTATTGTTCATGCTAAACTAATAAGTTTAGACAGGTCTTGCATTGAACATAACTTTACAGATTAGATCGTTAAACAGTCGTAGTTACCAAAGGAATGTTTACCTGATAAAGACACCACTAACTGTTCTGTCGAAGCTGAAAGCGAAGTCTTCGCCAGTCCCAGCGACTTCTCTGGAGAAGGGCTCCGCGTACTTGAAGAAATCGAGTTTCGAGTTTTTGACGCCATTTTTGCCCGCGAGAGAGTTCACCAATACGAAAGTACGCGCCAAAATTTTTAAACAAAATACCACTCGTTGTGTCGCTTAACTGATCTTGATAAGAAGTTTTCCATCAGTGCTATCTTCTGGCAAATCAAATTCAAGATATTAGCTATGTTCCACTTTGTTTAGTGATGCCACAATTTCAGCTACTCTGTTCTGTTGTAAACACTCCGCTGATCGCCCCACGCTGACTGGCAGGGGGTCCCCTTAGTATGAAAGCGCGGGATACGATTTTCGCGTTTTTTGTGCGTGATGCGCGTTTGTTTTACTAACGCAACATTTGTTGAAAGAAAACGTTTCTTTTTTGCTAGCTTGCCCGATGTTTCGGTCCAAGCTAAAAAAGCAAGTAGCCTTATTTTAGCACGACAAATTAACAATCGAACTCATACAATGCATAATTTTGTGCGGTTAATACAAACTTTGCGAGCTCATTAACATGCCCAAATCTGAGTAAAAGAACACTAACTCTGTTGTTTATATTTGAGTTGTTGTTTCATTTTGACAGGAATTGGTATAAAATGGACATAACTTATATACTTAACATAAAACCTACTGTCCTTTAAAGGTTAAAAAAGCATAACAAGTTGTCGCATTTGAATGTTATTACACAGAGGTCAAAATCTTATTGTTCAGAGCTTTCAAAAGGCGAAAGTAAAATTTTCAATTTAATTCCAGAACACCCGCTATGTGGAGAAATATTTTATCACCACAGACCTTACATTAGAGTTGGTCAGCCTTGCTTTGGGATTTCACTTAAATATTTTTCGCTATTTTAACTCCTTTCAGCTGTTCATTAGCAAGTTTAGTTAAAACTACTATAGCGGCGGTCTTTGTTCCATATTCTTTTGTTTGTTCGTATACCCCGACGGATTTTCTTTGCATAAATCATCAGTCTTAATTGATTTTCGCACCTAAGTTCACAGTAACGGTACTTTAACAGCCCTTTGTCCTTTCACTCGGAGATAATACCCAAGATATTCAAGAATTTCGGCCAACAGATTCCTTATCCTTCTTAAGTATCCAACCTGTACATTTTAATTAAGTGGCAACAAGCCAAGAGTTATGCCCATGTATTCATTACTCAACTTAATCAAAAAAGACAATTATTACAGTGTTTCATTTGTTAATTTACTCCTGTTATTGAATAAGTAGTTATGAAGTCCTTAATTTCTAACAATATAGCTAGGCTTTATAAATAAATTATGAAATTATATAAGTTTATTTGCCTTGAATTTCTGGAATTTACTGAATCGTAAAAGCCACGCAAACTTGTCCTTGACCTAAGAACTAAAGCCAATACAAGGGCATACGTAACGACCACAAAATCACATGTTAATGAGGTCAAAGAGAGTCCTTCCACGTAGTCTTTCAGTTTGCACGTACTCCGATTACTAACAGGTACTGCAGGGGCACTCAAGGACGGTTTCCTCTGTTTAATAGGCTATCTGGGGTACTTTTAAGCGGCTTTGTGGGTTAATTTTGGCTACGCTATAAGTTTTTTTTATCCGTCACAGTCATGTTAGGGGATCTTGAGTCTTCTCAAATTTTGACCACGTCCCTAAAACCTTAGATCTTATTGTGTTTTCGAAAATCATAGCATATCGATCATGTCACATTTCATATTTCATCGCATTTCATATATATCACGAAAGTAGTTTTTAGTGAGTTTTGGTGGTTTTTCCAAAACAGAAAGGTAAGATTTGAAAAAAACCTTCTAGATTTTCTCAATTTGATATTAAAACCCATCATATCACCCCTTTTTAGCTTCAGTGCACTTCTATAGTTTTAGCAAAACTTGACAATTAATGATATGTAGGTTTCCATGACCAAACAGTTGTCTTTTAGGGTGCGACTTTTTGAAGTTTTGTTCTCGATAATGGCCTTTAATTTTAGAACTTGGTTGCAAAATCATATCTTGGAAAGGCCCTGATATATTGCGTACGTAATTTCTACAATCTTAGGTACATTTATTGGGTGTAGTTTGTTCAAATTAAAAAAAAAAAAAAGTAAATACATGTAAAAATTGTAAATATGCGAGTAATAATAATAATAAAAGTTGTTGTTGTTATTGTTGTTGTTGTTATTCAACTGGAAAAACTTGGGTGAGGGCCTCTTCATATGAGCCCGGTAACCGGGACGAATTTTGTTGTCTGTTCATATGGGAAATTTCAGCCTGGTCTACCGTGATAAAATCCAAGAAACAACTGAAATGGTGGAACATAAACTTGTATCGTTCACGGCTGTCGCAGCTTTGTGGACTCTTGTAACTTTACTAATAAAGCGAATTCGCCTACTCCTAAAGTGGAAATACATACAAGGCAAAAATTATGCCATTTTGGCCGCTATGTTGCGAAAGCGAAGCTATTTCGTCTAAAAAGTTMCGTCCCGGTTACCCGGGCTGGAGTGTTCATATGGGAAAATTTTCATCCCGGTTACCGAGATCTCGGTCGCAAAACCCGAGATCTCGGTAACCGGGCCAGCCTGGCTTCTCATATGAACACATCGAAATTTTTACGAAGGAAAGAGTGGCGAGGCGAGATCTCGGAAACCGAGCCAGCCCGGTTGACCGGGCTCACATGAAAAGGCCCTTAAATCACCCGCGGAACAATTACATGCGTGGCAATTGATCATTTTCATCTCTTTTCCCTTTAGGGTTAATTATTGCGATCAGGGGCTCCGCTTTTATAATTTTAGGCTTTGATAAATCTATATATTAAAATAAAGTAACTGAGATGTGTATGGACACTCAAAACCTTTTGGTGAACTTATGAAGTGATCTTAAAACTTCTCAGTTGGAGACCATATTCACTATAGGTCTTGGTCAAGGCTCTTTGAATATGGAAATGATGCAAAGTTAGGTTCTCTGGTCACTTCAGTTCATGCTACTAAACCCAATCTCACATGGTCTACCCTCAGCCTCCCCTCCCTCTCTCTTATGAACCCAAACACAGCGGCCTGGACCGAAATCGAAACGTTTTTCACGTTGTATCAGCCTTGCAGTCTATTGTTTGTCTTCATACATTTTTCTGGCTGATCAGATCTCTTGTAGATCCTAAGTTGCCAACGTTTATAGTATGCGGTCCCTTGCAGTTTCTGGTTGCTCATTCTGGACCGACCGCCTGGACCCGGTCGCTTATTTGGCTTGGTTACAAAGGAAATGTCTGGTGGATTCTGTAGATCTCCTCTTGCAGAGGGAAGTGATATGTGGCTACGGCAGGAATATAAACCCGAGAAACAACGGTTTGAAAAGCCTTTCGAACTAGAAATTGATAGCAACCTAAATGATCAACGATCTGACTTTGCAAACCACGAAGTTTCCAAAAAATCGGTTCTAAAACTTCAACAGAGTTACGCAGCTCTTGGAACGACAGTGTGGGATGGGAGCATAGCACTCGCTAAAATGTTCGACAATCAAGAAGTGTTTCCTTCAAGTCACCTGCAAACATGTAGAGTCTTAGAACTTGGAGCTGGTTGTGGTCTGGTAGGGATCTATCTCTGCTTGCTTGGAGCTAAAATGGTCGTTCTCACGGATATGCACTGTTGCATAAAAACTCTTGAAGACAACGTGACTTCGAATGTAACTGGAAGTTACCGCGATAGGATCGAGATTATGGAATACTCCTGGGGCAATAGCACATCAGAATTGATAAAAGATGGCTTGTTTGATTTGATTGTCGCGGCAGAAGTTCTTTATTCACCAACAGATTCTGTGCTGTTAGCTCAGTGTATTCCGAAGTTAACGAAACCAGATTCGCGAATTTTTGTTTCAATGGGAAGGAATCGTGGAGGTGAAGAAGTATTTGTTAAAACATTGGCTGATCAAGGTTATCACTGGAATGAGGTTTGTAAGAAAGGAAAGTATAAATCTAAATTTATCTTGTTCAACCAACCACCGCATTAAGGTATAATAATTGAAACCCAACCACCCACGCCCAAATAAAATAGAGAATTTTCATTCTTCCTCAAAATTGTTGCTCTTTGAGGAATCTCCACCTGTCAAAAATAAATCTCCTCCCTCCCCCCCCC